GGTAGCTCTAAGGTCCTTCTGTCTGAAAGTTTGTGGCTCTGACTGCCCTGAAGACACACTTATTCAACCCCACTTCACACTACTTGCCTGTGTCTTGCCCTTGACCCTGATAGGGTGCTGTTAAATGACCTATGGCAAGAACTGTAGTGACCTGAGCTCTGAGCCTGTGGTACACATGGGCATGAACCTGTTGACCATGGACAAAGTGTTGAGAGTGCTTAGGCCGAGTATCCTGGCAGTGTGGATGAGGCCCACAACAGCAGGCCTTTGTGGCTTTAGTTTGGGCTTTGCCATGTGCATAGGTTTCCTACAAGGGGAACTGACGCTCACATGGTGCTTTGGATGTGGTTTGACTTATCACCTTATATTTTTAAGGCTCTGGTTTTCCTAACATGAGGCTGTAGGCAGAGTTTCTCTGTGTCCCAGCAACCACTCCCAAATCCCCACTCAATGAGAGCAACAAATTTTCACAGTGTACAGAGGGATTATTCCACAGCATGGGACTGTTCTCTCACTTGGTACATCTTGTTTGGATGACTGTGGGTGAATTTATCATTTCAAGTGGCTTTCAAGTTATACAGGAGATAGCTTTTAACTCACCAAAGGATTCAAATGTGGAAACAAAACTCATGACTCCCACCCTCATCCCTCACCCAGGGAGTGACCACAGTGACTACAGGTGTGGGTGGGTATTAATGGAAAACTTGTCTAACTCTGCTAGGACCCTGGCATGAGCACTTTGGTCAATTGATGCTGATCTAGGATGTGTAGAAGGAAGGCAAGAATACAAATAGCATGGCACTAAAGCCACCCATGACCCCCACTATTTGCTCCCTAGCTCCTTGTGTTTCTCATCCTTCCTACAAGCAAAGTACAGTAAGTTTCTCCCCTCCCAAGACTCTGAAATTTCTTTCCATGTGAGGTCAGACTTGGTCCCATGAAGCAGCAGCAGAAGCCACTGAAGCTCTTCATGGGAGTAGTGCTCTAGGTGCAGAGGTGTATGTACTATAAAGACAGGCTGTCTTAGCATAAGACAGGAAGACTGTGATGGATGCATGCAGTGCACACATCCTTCAGAAATGGGGATGAGGATATGTGTTAGTCAGGGGTGTGTAACGGACAGAACTGATTGGATGATTTAATTAACACACAGTTCTTTTTTTAGTTCTGGTGCCTAACATTTAAATTTCTGTGAGCAGTAGAAATATGAAGCAGGAATTCAGCTGACACAGACAAGGTTAAAATCCTGGCACAAGGGTTCTGCCAGAGGGAAGCCAAAACTCAAGGCGTTTAGGTGATATTGGTTTTTGGATGTATTAGCTGTTTCCTGCAGTGAATTTCTTGTGTGCCTTCCCATTTGATTCTTTTCCCAAGAACTTCTTAAAGTGTGGTTGATCATATATTGTGTACAACTTCCACTATACAATTGGGGTATTTGGATAACATTCCCTAGCTGTGTTTGATAACAGTCACACAGTCAAGACCTTTTTCCCATAATCAGGCCTTTGTTCCTCTTACTCTAGCATAGACTTAGAGCCTGCCTTCCTGTAATTATCTTTATTAGCATACATCTGGCCAGTGCCATCTCCAGACAAAAGTATTTCATCTGAGAAACTTCTCAAACACCCAAGGACAGACTGCAGATAGATGAGCACCAGCATGCCCTGAGCTCATCTCGCCTACAGATAAGAGAAGCTAACCTCACTAACCTTAAACCCTTAACTCATTACCTTCACCCAGATTTAGTAGCACAAGACCCTAATTTAAGAGATTTACTGTTTGCAATCACCAGGATGGTGTTCAGCCACCTATAGTTACTGAGATAAGGTAAATATTCACACTGACCCAGTGAGACAATGCCAGCCAGGCAGATGATAGGTAGGTGCCAAGCTTCGTTTCTTGTGCAAATTAAACTTAAACTCTCCTCTTTTTTCTATAGCCCAGGTGTTATTGTTAGTTCTAAAGATTCTCCCTTTAGCAATCAACTCAGAGTAAAAGTGCTTTTAGGAACCAAATGCTACATGTTGTGATGCAGGTTGCCTAGAAACTGAGAACACTTTCCTGCACTGCCAGAAAATAGCACAGCTGAGAGCCAGAAGTGGCACTGAAGGAAAAATGGCAGTTTTATTTTACTTGTGACTTATATTAACATATAGACTCCTAATCTTTTACCTAAATTCCTTTTTATATCCCCTAATTGATTTTAGCCCTTAGTTGACCCTACCTCCATTAGTCACTCCCCTTTTGGGTTGTAAATGAAAGCTGACAATTACTGCTCTTCCTGTGGATCTTATCACCCATCTCCATGACCCTGAAAACTTCAAGCCTCACATTGTATTGCCAAAGAATTAGTGCTTGTAAATACATATAAACTGGTACTCCCATGGCACTTGTAGAATTCACTTAGAAGAATAAAGTGAATGGACTGAAAGAGCTCAATGTGCATAGATTCTTTTGATATTCCTTAGATTAGATTCTCAGCTGGTTGTTAATTTCTTCCACAGACCCTGGGAAAGGGCTATCTGGGGTTGGACCCCAATAGCTCTTGTTATAAAATCAAAGTATTGACAGTCTGGTTTCCTTGGCTATAGATGACAACTTTTCTCTGGGTCTTCAACTGTGTGTTCCTTGTGTGTCTGTGATCTGTTCTCTATTTTTTATGCAGATAACAGTGATCCTGCATTAGAGTTCTACCTGATAACTTTTTTTTAAAACTTCATTTTGCCCTTATAGTCTATCTAAAAGTTAGGCCATATTTGGAGGAACTGGGTGTTTGAATGTGAACATATGGATTTGGGGGAGACACATTGAGCCTATGGTGGAAGGTGAAGGAGGCACGTAACAGCCACTGAGCAGCAGCTAGTCTGAATGCAGCCAAGTGCACACAGCCAGTTTCTACTGCCCTGAAAGTAGAGATGTCTTGCTTTACCTCTACATGTATATGCAGGGACTCTTCCTAATCTATCACATTAGTGGCCCGTGACAAAGAGTCTGGTTTTGCATATGACCACACCATTTCATTTTATGTGAAACTGTTATGTTTTTGTTCTCTGAACCTACCTCCTGCCTGGAGAAAGACTTGTAGGCCCAGAGGCTTGCCCTCAATTTTAACCGTGTCTCCCTTCTAGTGACAAACTGTTACTATTCCTTTTAAACCTCTGTGGGATTTCTGTGCAACACTTTACAGTCCACTACACTGTAAATAGCCACCTGCATCAGCCTGTCTGTTGGGTTGGATGTAGGAGCCTATGGGACACCATCCTTGAGATGCACAGAAGACCTTTTATCAAGGGAGCCATTAACCTTAAGGTCTTAGCATAGTAACCCTTGACCTTGCTCCTTAGGCCAGGAACTTGGTCTTTATCTTGTGGCCATTTTTTTACTTTTAAGATTACTTGCCAATTGGTAAGCCTAGGAATAGAAGCAGTTTCATTGCCTACCCAACAGAACCTGGCTTGGAAATAGTTTCTTTAACTTCTGCTTCAAATGGGAATACTTCATTTCTTCTTTTCTTCATTTTTGAGACATGTGGAAGGCCACAGAGGCTTCCTAGTGAGAACTTGCTCAGGTCAGAGAATCTGGGCTTGCTTTACCCAGCAGGGCTGCATAATGGGATGATTTGACCATGGGTATGGTTACCATGTGTTTGGAAGGGTCTACATTTGGCTGTACAGTGTGCATTGATCTTGCAAGGAGGAGATCTTTTGCCTCTCCCATTGGCATGTTATAAAAAGCCCTTTTCAATAATGGATGAGGCTGTTGGGTATTGACCCAGGTCCTTCCGAAGCTATCCTGTGTTTCTGTCTTTCTTCTGGTTGGCTAGGTCTCTCTTTCTATCTGATATTTTCTTACCCCTCTCTCTTCCTCCAAAGAGGTGGGAGCTGGGCCCCCACAGAGACAGCACCTCATGCAGCACAAAGCAGCTTCAGGTTTTAGGAAATTGAGAATGACATTGAGCTCCTGATTCTCCTGCCTCCACCTTCTCAGTGATGACATTAACACATGCACAAGTGCACTCGGCAACATTTGCTTTTTTGGTACATCTCTCTCTTTCCATACTTCTGCCTTGGCAATCACACTCTTCAGAAGTACCTTAGTTCAATACAGAAGACCACAGAAAAGTGTCCTGTTGTTTTTATTCTGCAACATTTCATCTCTACATAATCACAATCCAACATGTCTAGTATTTTGTAGAATCTTTGGTAGATTTTTTTTCCAGAGAACTTTGCTTGATACAAGAAAAAAACAAAAACAAAAACTTAAGGTAGAAGACTTTCTATTTAGTATGTATGCATTTAAAAAAATGTTGAAGCTATTACTCACATTGGTTTTATTGAATAAAGACATCTAGGTTTCTATAAAATTATACTGTATGTGAAACTCCACCTTGAAGAGCATGCCAGCTTGTGTGACTCACCACAATTTTCTAACAGTGAACATCATGCTTCCTTACCTACTATAGGTGGCCCAGAATAGGTTGTATAGCATAGTAAGATATATACAACCCTAGCCCTTGGTGACCATGGGGTCTAGTTGGGGGATTATCCAAGATGCAGAAAGTTAACAGATAAAATAACCACCATAAGTGATCCAATTAAAGTTCAAAGTATACACATGATTGGTGAGAAAAATAAACTTGTTTTGAAATGGTGTTTAAAAGCTTCATAGAATTTAACTATTACAGCTAGTCATGGAAAACACAGTAGTCTACAGAAACATGACTTCTGCAAGGAGAACCTGTGATAGTCTAAGCTAGCTGCCATGACAGCTAGATAAATTGAAAACAGATAATAAATACCAGCTGTTAGAAGACCACACTGCCTGCACATGTCCCGAAGCCTAACACAGTGATGGGCACATACCTGGTGAGTGGTGGACAGTAAAGCAAAATAAAGTTAAACTGGACATTAAGGACCAATCACTAGTAAACTGCAGTGGCTGTCATCATCCACAAAAGCATTTACTATGATGCAAACAGGTTAAGTCAAGTGATATCGAGAGTTGAGAAAAACAGTATATAAAGCTGGCATGGATTGTCTGTGCAGTGAGTGGGCATTTATTTAGGGTCACCTTAAAGAACTTTGTAGGCTCTCTTGAGGGAATTGTTTGCCTCCTTTGTTGTTTACACAACCAGAAACACAACCACTCTGTGATCCTATGACCTGGCAAAGGGCACTGATGAATATCAGGATAGGGAAGAGGAATATGGGCATCATAAGATCAGGTTGAAAGGGGGAAAGTGCCCTCATCTTGGAACATGAGTTCAACCTATATGTCCATTCTCACAGGGTTGTAAGAGCTGTCAAGATAGAATAGATTGAATAGGGAACTGTTTCCCACATAGTAAATGTGTCTTTATGGAGAAGAGAACCTGCCACAGAACAGGAGGGTATTGGTTTCATTGTGCCTGATGAAGAAAAGGAAGGGGTGGTCAGCACAAAACCTTGGGTCACCACCAGATGAATAACAGCATATATTTACCATGGTGGAGGCTGCAGCCTCGGTGCCTTCTTCATTCACCTCCACAACACTCTTGTGAACACACTCAGACACACACAAGTTTCTCTCCAGAGACATTCCTGATAAATCGGCCTTGCCCTCTTGGAAGACATCCACCATTCCCAAGTGCTGAAACACAGACTTCATGTCATAATCCTCTTGCAGTTTAAATTTTGGAAGTAAAACCTCAGCTCTAGTGCTCCTCATAAAGTCTGGTTTGGTCCAAGACATTAACTTCTCAAAAGTGAGATTGTTTTCCACCTGACAAAGAAGAATTAGAGACTTTGAGATTCACAGTTGAGTTCTTACCCAGAGGCACATAGACAGTTCACACTCACAGAACCCTCCATCATCCTTCAGGGGGCATGCCTATTCACAGGGACAGACAGTGTGAGGGTCCCACTGTCCTACTAACTTGAGTGAGGCTTCTCTGATCAGCGCGAAAGCCAAGCAGCCCAGGGTTGGGAAGACCTGGCTGTCCTCTCCTAAATAATTTCTGAGACATCTTATATTCTGACATGTGAACATGTCCAGGTGATTATGGTTTAGGTTGTGTTTGCTTTTGTTTTCTTGATCTAGACTTAGTTTTGAAGATAGTACTGCTGTGGGATGGTCTGTATGTCAAATTGCTCTGATTGGTCAATAAATAAAACACTGATTGGCCAGTGGCCAGGCAGGAAGTATAGGCAGGACTAAAAGAGAGGAGAATTGGAACAGGAAGTCAGAGAGAGACACTGCTAGCCGCCGCCATGACAAGCAGCATGTGAAGATGCCGGTAAGCCATGAGCCACATGGCAAGGGATAGATTTATGGAAATGGATTACTTTAAGATATAAGAACAGTTAGCAAGAAGCCTGCCATGGCCATACAGTTTGTGAGCAATATAAGTCTCTGTGTTTACTTGGTTGGGTCTGAGCGGCTGTGGGACTGGCTGGTGACAGAGATTTGTCCTGACTGTGGGCAAGGCAGGAAAACTCTAGCTACATAGTACATCATTGCTGTTTTTTAAAAAAAAATGGAAAAAATAAGACTTTTGGTGTGAACCACATCTGAAGGAAGGTCTGTCTAGCATTGGATTCTATGCATTGTGTGGCCTACTGTGGCTTTTATGTGAAATTTACCCCAAAGGCTCACATACTGAAACCTTATTCTGAAGCTGGCAGCAACATTAGTGATGCATCTATAATTTAGACATGAGGGGTTCTAGCAGAATGAAGGAAGTAGTTA